CGTCGTCCATCTCCTCTTCCTCACAGATGTCAGATTGGCATGGCTGTCAAAGGCTCTTCCCACCTTCTCCCCTTCCCTCCCTTTTATCCTTCACCTGCACTTCCCCTCCATACATTTCATGCACATCTAATTCCATCTTAGCATTTGCTTCTTGGAGAGCCCAAACAAACACAAGCAGCAAAGGCAATAGCCCGAGGCAGGAGCACGCTCGATGTCATTGAGGAATGGCAAGATCTGTGTGGCAGGGGCAGACTCAGAAAGGGGCAGGGTGGCAGAGCATGAGGACAGGCAGAGACAGAGGTCAAATCTGGAGGGCCTGGAAAGCATCATAAGGACCTGGAGTTTTCCTCTGAGTAACACGAGGTCACCTTTGGAGGGGGATGACCAGGGTTGGTGATATGATTCAACATTTTAAAAGGACAGTCATCCCTGCTGCATGGAGGGCAGGTTATAGGTGAAAAGCACAGGGAGATCTGAAGCAGAGATGCCACTGAAGAATCCAGACCAGAGATGATAGTGTTTGAAGGAAGTGGTAGTAGGGGAGTGAGCAGTGAGTGAATTCTAAAAATATCTGAAGATAGAGCCAATAGGATTTGCAGATAGTTAGGGCACGCGGTGTGAGAGAAAAAAGAGTCACAGGTTTTTGTTCTGTGCAAATAGAATTGGCATTCACAGAGACAGGAAAGACTGGGTATTGTGAAATATCATGATAGAAACCCTAGTTTAAGTAGATTTCTTCTGCTTGTATGCTGAAGTAGTGCTTAGTTTATATCTCTACTTCATCATCAGTCAGTCAGTCTTTTTACAGTGACTGTTGCTGCTATTCTTGCTACCTATCATTGAGTGCTCACTCACTGCCTACTGCCCTAGTGTTTGTATTATTGTATTTATTAATTATATGAATATGTCATGTATTTTTATATATATATATATATAAAATATTTAAAAAAATCTCCTCCCCCACTTCATTTAATCTTAACCTCATGAAATTAGCCTCAGGTTTTGTGTTGTTTTCTGGCTTGAGGTCACATAGAGAGTTACTGCCAGACTCAGAACTGAATGGAACAGAATCTCAGAACAGAATCCTGGAGGGTGCGACCCTAATGCCGCGTTCCTCCTCATGCTGAGGGCTTCCTGGTGTCTGTGCGGCCCTTCTGTAGCTGCTCTTTTACCACTGTCTTCCTGACTATGTCTAGAAGTGTCTTCAGAACAGGATAGTATCATAATCATCTTCACGTGTGCCACTTAAACTACTAAGCTTCCTTGCATACTGTAAGTTCCATGATTCCTTGTGGTATTTTGTGAGTTCTGTGTACCTGACTCTGCCTCCACCTACCTCATAATTGACCAATGAAATGTTATGAGAATTCCTAAATATGATCAGATCCATTGGCCTGACAGCATCCAGTGGCTTCCAGTGGCTTCCAAACTTGTCCGTTGCCTGTCCGACACTGCACGGCTCCAACTCTAAACTTTTGTCTGATTTTTAGCAGGTGGTCCTGGGACTCTCTGGTATTTCCCTGGTATCTCTGGGCTCCTCCAGCAGAGAGAAGACCCTGTATGAAATGTAGGACCCAACACCTCATTTCAGATGTTAGTGGTGATCTCAGTGTCCCTGCCAGAAAGAGATGTGGATGCATTTACTTCTTTTTTTTTTTTTTTTTTTTTTTTTTTTTTTTTTTGAGACAGAGTCTCGCTCTGTTGCCCAGGCAGGAGTGCAGTGACATGATCTCGGCTCGCTGCAAGATCCACCTTCTGGGTTCACGTCATTCTCCTGCCTCAGCCTGCGGAGTAGCTGGGACTACAGGGCATTTAATTCTTTGGTTATGCAACCTCTTTTCCCTAATATCTGAAGGGCTCCCTTTCTGTCAACTGAGTTAGTCATAACTTGAGAACACTTATGTTATTTGACACATATGAGTTATGTAGGTATTCAGAATGGCAAAAAATGGACCAATTACTAAATTACTTTTTTCCATCCAGTTGCAATTACTTATATAAACTTGAATGTTAACTCCCAATTATTTGGCAGCAACAAAATGCATTTGTAAAGATTCACCTTCAAAATGGCCGGTAGCTTTCTGACACTCTCCAGCTGATAATAACTCTGGACTATGGATATCTCATCAGAATTAATTGTAGCAGACTGGAGTCCTGCAGATGCTAAAATGTCTTTAGTTTTACAGACCAATAGATGCTATGGTTCAGCAGTTCTGCATTATTAGTAGTAAGCTCCGTGAGTCTTTTGGGAGGCAGCTCAACAAACCGCTGTAACCTTTCTACATTAAATGAGAATTAGCAACTATGCTTGTTGATTGTGAGTATCAAGAACAAGGACATGGAATAAAAATAACATCCTTTTTATATCTACCAAATAATTTCACATGTAAAAGCTTGCTTTGCCTGAGAGGTAAAAATAAAGCAGTCAGCCAAATATAAAATATTCATCATGTGCATGGGAAATATCTGACATGTTTAGGGAGTAGACTGATAGACAAAGAAGAAGGAAACCCTTTAATAAGGTCAGAACATAATTTCAAGAGTTTAGTGGATAGAATATGGTGCCAGAAAGACATATGTCTCCAAATCAAGGTGAAGATCTGTAGTGTAACAGTCATATCTAAACCTATAAAGGACTAAGAGACTGGAATTTCTGCATATCACTGGTTCTTCCTGCACATTGTATATTCACATGAGAACTGGAACATTTTTATTATTGAGGCATATAATAAAATATATATATAGAATTTGCCTTGGGTAGATTGTCAAAATTTCATGTGATCAGGCTCCCAAAACCTGGAGAAAACAGAAGGTGGTGCATGGGGACAAGGGGGATGATGATAAGCAGAGATGAGGAAGAAACTTTAGAGACTTCATATAAATTAATGGAGCATGGCAAGAAATAAGAATGAGCTTTCAAAAATTTTAAATTCGATTGAGTTGGTAAAAATTATTCATCATCATTGCCAAGGATGGCCCCACACACAACTGTTGACTATATATACTGCAAAGCATTATGCTTAGGATCAGAGAGATAAAAAGACATTAATGTTCATATTTTCATCCATTTAACATCATTTATTATGTGCCCTCCATGTATGAGGTATTATGTTAAGATGCTAAGGCAAGGCTGGCACATCCTGGTACCAATGCCAGCAATTGTTCCCATGACAGACATTACCAATCAATTACAGCACTCTTCCTACTGCTTCTGGTGATGGCCATAGTGGCTTTTTCAGCACAGATACAGATCCTACTGTTGGCAGAGACCAGATGGAGGCTATTGCAGTAAAGTCAGGTAACACAGGGTGAGAGTTGGAATGAAGCTTAAAAAGTGGGCATAGGGAAGTTAATACATTCAAAAGATAGTAAAGAGGTAAAAGAGGACATTTTAAAAGATTGCACACTGGCTGAGGATGGAAGCTGCTGGGACAAAGTCAGGGATCACATCAAGGTTTCTGGCCTGGGCAATTGGATGGATGGTAATACACTTCACCGAGGTTTGCAAGAAAGAAGAGGGTCTGTGGAGAGAAGGGTGAGCTCATTTTAAAGTACTTTGAGTTTTAGGTTCCTGTGGGCCATCCAAACAGACATATCTAGCAAGAAATTGAATATGTGAGTCTGTAATTTAGATGCACAAGTAAAGCTAATGAGGTTTTAGTAGAGGGTGGTTGTTATAACACATAGACACTGGAGGCCCATTATTTGGGTTTGAACCCTAGTTCTACCAGGCATCAGCTTGGTCGAGTTTCTTCATATGTCTTAATCTCCTGTTTCCTCATCTTTAACATGGAGATAACAGGAGTATCTATCTTACAGGATCCTCTCAAAGATTCAATAGATGCTTGGCAAACACATAGTAAACACTGTGTGAATGTGTGCTATTACTATCATTGTCATTACATCTAAACAGTGCTAAGTGAATATTTGTAGAATGAATGAATCAATGAGATTACTCAGAGAAAGTACAGGGAATGAGAAGACAAGAGGAATGAGAATAGAAACCTGCAGTTATCATTCCTTAGAATGTTAGTATTCTAGTTCTATGAGAATTCAGTTGCTCTGAAATTTACTTAAAGGAACAAAGATAAATTCAGATCCAAATAGTAAATTATTTCTCTAAAAATTTTGTATTTATTTTTATTTTTTGTAGAGGCAGAGTCTTGCTATATTGCCCAGGGTGGTCTCAAACTTTTGGCCTCAAGTAATCATACCACCTGTGCCTCCCAAAGCTCTGAGATTACAGGCGTGAATCAATGCACCCAGCCCCCCAAAATAAATTCTTATCAGGAGCACAGAAAGGAGATTCATTGTGCCAGGAAAAAAGATTGTTTGAGGACCAGATGGGGGTAGTTAATCTTGAACCAATTAGGTCCTTCTAGAAGGAACAGGTCTGTCTAAAAAGCAAGTGTGGGCTAGCCAGGCACCCACACTTGGTTAAAATGTAAGATAAGGAAGCAAGGGTCAAGGTTTTGTTGCTAAAACAGTTGGCAGAGTTGCAGCAAGCAGCATGGTGGCCAAAGCAGTCATTTGCATGATGCTGGAAATAACATGAATTCACAAATTTGGTGTGCTCCCACAACAAACATGCTCCTGACAAGATGTGTGAGAGTCACAGCATGGTACATCAAATCATATTTTATTAGCTACTAGTCCAGCTGGAGAAACAGTGTTTATGAAAGTCGGTGCTAGTAAATGCTACTCACCTCGCACAAAGTTCTCAAGCCCAAACCCCCAAAGTCATCCTTCATTCCTTTCTTTGCTTTGGACTCCCTCTCCATCAGTTCTTTAGGAGCCCTGTCGACTGACAAAAGGACATCTTACATCCATGATCCTTTCTTTGTCTCCACTTTTATCATCCTGGCACTAGGCAGCATCTTCTTTTGCCTGGGTAGCCCACAGTAGCCAACAGTCTCCAAATCAAGCCATGTAACTCCCCAACATAGAGCAAAACCCATATTTTTACCTGCAGGACTTCGTGTGATCTCGCCCCTGCCTACCTCTTTCATTCTGTCCCTCCTCCCATCTTCTATGCTTCAGCTTCACTGGCCTTCTTGCTTTTCTCAGACACACCACACTCTTTCCTGCCTGAGGGCCTTTACACCAACTGTTCCTTCTGTGACACCTCTAGATTTTCAGAAGACGGAGTCCTCTAGTTATCAAGGTTCTTATCTGCAGTGTGACCACTTCAGGGAGCCTGCTCTGGACATTGTGTCTGTCCAGCCCCTCTCCACTGGTCACTTTCTAAGATGTCCTATTCAATGACCTTCGTTGCACTTTTCTAATATTTTTGTCATGATTTAACTATTACTTGTTTGTTATTGTCTCTGCCACTGGAATGCCAGTTCTGTAATAGCAGGGGCTGGGCTGGACCAATTTATTCATTAGGCACAGTAGGCACAGTGCCTAGAATCCATGATACTTTCTGGGGTCCACCAAAATGTTTTAATTTTCATTTACTTAAAAAGTTAGAAGAAAAAGTAAATATAAAATAATAATTTTAATTTTTTTATGGAGGTAGAGACCAATTCATAATACAGCCACAGAAGTGAGTCTGTCAACTTTGTTCGCCACAGTGTCTCCAGCACCTGGAACTATACCTGACGTCTAGAAAGCCTTCCAGACACATTTGTTGTCCAGATAAATGGCAGTGTCCTGAGAATTTGGGGATCTGGCCTCATGGAACTCAGGTCGTGTGTGTGTGTGGGGTGTGTGTGTGTGTGTGTGTGTGTGTGTGTATGTGTGAAATGGATATCTTAAGTTTGCCACTCTAGACCCACTCTCTTCCCTTCTCTACTTGTTTCTGGGCTGAAGATGCTGATCTATATGTAGATCAATGGCTTTAGGTTGGGTTCAGCCAAGGGAGGATCTGAGGATGGAAGGATAGTGAGGTTCCAGTGTTTATTCCTGGGTTTTCCTCCCCACTGAGTCAAAATGAACTTCATCCCCCACATTAATCTAACGAATAACAATCATATTACCAATAATAATACGATTGATATTTATTGAGACTAAATCTAGTGTTGATATTTTTATGTAGTGAAATGGTATGATAGCATAATGCAACAGCCTTTACTTTATGCTTAAACTTCACAGCACAAAAATGTTTGCAGACTTCATCAATTTCCTTAAAAATTTCCCTTGATCTTTTGATATTCATATTTTTCCCCTCTGATATCTTTATTCTATTACCATGTTTGTAAGTTTTCTTTTTTATAGTTGACAGGTCTAGCTTTGTCAGATCCTCATTTGTCAATGGTTTTGTATGTGATTGTGTAACTTTCCTACATCGCTGTCATTAACCTAATAAAACCTGAATTTTTTGCAGTGTTTGTGATTTTTATAAGCAACATATTTACTCTGTGGGTTTCCTTGAACTTAGACTAATGACAATGTCATAATATTGTGAGTCTTTGGCATTAAGTTGCCCTTGTTTCTGCAAGAACAACTAGCAACCTCTTTTCTGAGCTTCTGATATAAGAGAAACCACACTGCATTTAAAGAACACTTTACCTCTGGCAGGAAAATATTTTTTGTGATAACAATAGACATATGATAAAGCTTAAATTCTTCCAGTAAGTAAACACTATGTGGTCCCTGGTTTCTAGGGCATAAAGGGCATGCTTCTGCTTTGTAAGCTGACCTCGGTTCTTACCCATTTACTGTTTTACTTCCATATTTTCTCTAGAAAATCAAAATTTCAAAATATATAAAATTCTAAAGCTAAGATTTTGAAGTAGTTTTAAAGGGACGCAAAGGATAAATAAAACAGTATACATAAATGTCCTTTGTGAGGCATCTCAAATTAATGACTCAGATAAATTTGGTTTTAATATATAACATCATTAGTCCTAATGGCAAAGTTCATTATAATAATCTATGTACAAATTTCCTGGTAGTATTACAAGTGTTTGGAAGTACATCTCATAAATTATTAGTAAGATGTGAGACAACTCACTTTATTAGTCCACTTACACATTTATTGTCATCAAGGATATTTATCATATTTCCAAGTAGCTTGCAGTTATATAGATAAGTTCTGTTGATTTCTTCATATTTTATCAGCTATCTGAATGTCATTATATTCTAAAATATTCTTTTTTTTTTTTTTTTTTTTCTGAGACGGAGTCTCGCTGTGTCGCCCAGGCTGGAGTACAGTGGCCGGATCTCAGCTCACTGCAAGCTCCGCCTCCTGGGTTCATGCCATTCTCCTGCCTCAGCCTCCCGAGTAGCTGGGACTACAGGCGCCCGCCACCATGCCCGGCTAATTTTTTGTATTTTTAGTAGAGACGGGGTTTCACCGTGTTAGCCAGGATGGTCTCAATCTCCTGACCTGGTGATCTGCCCGTCTTGGCCTCCCAAAGTGCTGAGATTACAGGCTTGAGCCACCACGCCCGGCCTATTCTAAAATATTCTTAAATTCATTTGCTTTTTTTTTTTTTTTTGAGATGAAGTCTTGCTCTGTCGCCCAGGCTGGAGTACAGTGGTGCAATTTTGGCTCACTGCAAACCCTGCCTCCTGGGTTCAAGCGATTCTCCTGCCTCAGTCTTTCGAGTAACTGGGACTACAGCTGTGTGTCACCACACTTGGCTAATTTTTATATTTTTAGTAGAGATGGGGTTTCACCATGCTGGCCAGGCTGGTCTCGAACTCCTGGCCTCAAATGATCCGTCCACCTTGGCCTCCCAAAGTGTTGGGATTACAGGTGTGAGCCACTGCGCCTGGCCAATTTGCTTTTGTAATCCATATAAACTATATCTCATGGCTAATTATTGGCACATAATCATAGTAAAATGTGCATAATTGTTGGGGGCATCAATGTTGAACTGTGATTGTGATTGTTTTTATGATGCTCTTATGGGGCGTTTCATCTATACCTCTGGTTGGAGAAGGCCCAGTTTGACTCTGTATCTTGCCTGCTTTTCCTCCTTGAAGGAGTCCCTGCAGTGTAATGGCACTTGCCTCTTTGCAAGTGCTCAGAGTAAACATCTCTAAGTCATCTTCTATTTCATCCACTACTCTCATCCTCTCCCTTCCTCCTTCTTCTCCCCCAGTCCTCTGTCCAAGAAGTCACCAGGTTCTGTTGCTTCCTTCCAGAGGGGGAGAAGGGAAGATATTTCTGACAAGAAGATATGGAGAAGCATGGCATGTTTGAGACTGGGGCTCACTGTGGCCAGAATCCCAAGTTGTGGGGGACAGCAGTGGTGGGATGTGAACAGATTGAGGAAGACCATGCGGTACCTTCAAGGTCTTGCTTAGGAACTTGGATTTTTCCCTTTACTCAGGGAGTGAGAGTCACTGGAAAAAAAAAGACAGAAAAGTGCAGGACAGGGGATTAGCATAATGTGTGCGATGAGAGGAAAGTGAGGGAGTTTCAGGTGTGGATGAAAGAGGTATTGAAGGGGAGACAGGAACAGAGGCTGATGAGGGAAGGAAGGAAATCGAAAGGTGGAAAGAGGGGTAGGCCATACCCACAGAGGAGGGAGTGGGGGCAAAGAGAAGTTTGGAAGGAATGAGGAGGCAGGATGAGTCGAGGAGAGCAGGCGATGGGCAGAGGGACATTTCAGAGTTGAATATTTGCAAAGCATATGACCCTGGGAGTCAATTACTGAAGGCCTCGAGTGCATACTACTGAAACAGATGAGGCCAAGGAACTTGAGGGCTTTGGTGGGGTCATCCCTGGGATGTTGATATTACATTACTGGGGATGTCATTACTGGGTATTGGCAGCATCCAGAGTGGAGAGGAAATCCTCAACATATGGAAGGCAAAATGGATGTCAGTGGATGCTAGGTGTGGGGCAAGACCAAAGAGCTTATTGGTTGGGGGCACTGGCTGAGTTCAAAACCTGGCTCTACCACTTTCTGATTGTGGGAGAAGGTAGGTCACCCCTCTGTACCCCTGTTTCCTCATCAATAAAACAGGGGTCATATTAACTGTGTGTCACAAGGTTGTTATACAAATTACTGAGATAAAACATGTAAATCACTCAGAATAGTGCCTAGTCCATAGCAAGTGCCCAGTCAATATTCGCCATCATAACTCAGAGGGGATATAAGCATTGTCTGTGGCCTGGAAAGGTGGCAGGAGAATATTGGATCTCCTTCCTGCTGAGATGCAGGAAAAACAAATGCCTGAGAGAAAAACATGTCCGCATTTAAAGCAAATGTGTTAGGCCCTCTTCTCCCTGCATCTGTATGCAGAATAAGCAACAATGAGAACCTAAGGTAGGGGGCAGAGCAAGATGGCCGAATAGGAGCAGCTCCAGTCTCCAACTCCCAGCGCGAGCGACACAGAAGACCGGTGATTTCTGCATTTTCAACTGAGGTACTGGGTTCATCTCACTGGGGAGTGCTGGACGATCGGTGCTGGTCAGCTGCTGCAGCCCGACCAGCGAGAGCTGAAGCAGGGCGAGGCATTGCCTCACCTGGGAAGCGCAAGGGGGAAGGGAGTCCCTTTTCCTAGCCAGGGGAACTGAGACACACAACACCTGGAAAATCAGGTAACTCCCACCCCAATACTGCGCTTTAAGCAAACAGGCACACCAGAAGATCATATCCCACACCTGGCCGGGAGGGTCCCACACCCACGGAGCCTCCCTCATTGCTAGCACAGCAGTCTGTGATCTACCGGCAAGGCAGCAGCGAGGCTGGGGGAGGGGCGCCCACCATTGCTGAGGCTTAAGTAGGTAAACAAAGTTGCTGGGAAGCTTGAACTGGGTGGAGCTCACAGCAGCTCAAGGAAACCTGCCTGTCTCTGTAGACTCCACCTCTGGGGACAGGGCACAGTAAACTAAACAAACGCAGCAGACACTTCTGCAGACGCAGACGACTCTGTCTGACAGCTTTGAAGAGAGCAGTGGATCTCCCAACACGGAGGTTGAGATCTGAGAAGGGACAGACTCCCTGCTCAAGTGGGTCCCTGAACCCTGAGTAGCCTAACTGGGAGACATCCCCCACTAGGGGCAGTCTGACACCCCACACCTCACAGAGAGGAGTACACCCCTGAGAGGAAGCTTCCAAAGCAAGAATCAGACAGGTACACTCGCTGTTCAGAAATATTCTATCTTCTGCAGCCTCTGCTGCTTATACCCAGGCAAACAGGGTCTGGAGTGG